TTTTCATCTTCATTTTTGGTAGCATTTTTTACTTTTTTTTCTTGGCGTCATTACGTTGTTTTTATAGTCATTATATGTGAATTATGGTATTATTAATCAATATTAATGTTATTAGTACAGATATACCTATTTTAAAAGTGATTTTCCGAAGAGAATGGCTAGTAGTTATATTGAGATATTGCTCTGCGCGTCCTGTTTTCGATTGCAGACGTATATGCTGGAATTGCTATAAGAAATGACATTTTTTTTTTCATTCAAAAAAGATAGAAGCGAACGAATGAAAAATAGTAAGAAATAAATAAAGAATAACGCCAGCTTTCTATTGTCATTCCCATTCTCGAATTGCACCTAAATAGGCCTCCAAAATCTTTTATATTGATAATTATGACCAATAACATGACATTGTTGTCAACAAACCAACAATCACGATCATTTAAATAAGGAAACTCGATCATTATTCTTAACACCACTGAATGCTTAAACCCGAGTATGCACTAGAAACGATAAGATAAAAGGGCGGGGATCCATGTTATCTCACACAATCCAGCTATCGGAACTCATACATTATTCAGCAATGCGCTTAGATTGCAGTATAAGCTTAACAGAATCTCGGCGGGAAAATAAATGACAATACCTGACCGTACAAGTGCGCAGGTGTTTGGAAGTCATTAACATCGCGGTGCCAAAATATTGTCTGACGCACCCTAATGGAAGTGTCCGTTTTGACGGCATATTCATTTTAATTACAAGTCATTGTTTCGATACGCACCTTCTGAACCTTCATGTACGATCCACATGCCTCGTGTTCTAGAGCGTAGATAAAGAACATTAATGGTCGTTGGCAGTACAGTGTTAAGCGATTTGATACAATCACTGCAAACTGCCATTCTGATCATTTTAAAAGGTTTTTAATATGTTTTCATTTTGGAAATGACATAATCAGTCATTACGGAATGACGTTCAGAAAACACGATGCTTAATATGATTTCCTCGACTATAAGTTACTTCGGGAATACCTTCATTGTTTCGCTATTAATTCAAGCCGAGGGCTTGCTATAGTGTCGCGATTATGGCTGCTAGTTTCCAGAGAAAGTCTTCCTGCGTTTCTGAGGTATATTGCTTTAACTATAATATCTATAATATGATTTTTGTTATGTTAAAGGGGAAGTAGGACAAGTCGTCGTCCATACTGATTCGTTTCTTTAGCTAGCGTTTCTATATTGTTCTTTTTTCCTTTAAAGACGGCCAACATTGCAATAACGCTGCGAAAACGCATCAGTGTGAACGAGGATTTTACACATACAATTACGATTTMTCTAAAAGCACAGTTTGATTCACATATGTCCACTTCTGCGGCGTCGATACTTAATACGTCGATGCATTGTATTTCGCTCTTTAAACGGATGAAATCAAATATCCTCGCGTTATACCCTCGTCATAAAAACCAAAAAAATTTCTACAGCATAGTCTAGCTTTTCCGATTCGTTAACGAATGTTTAAATGCAAAATACACACCAAACCAATTCAAATATTTTTATTTCGCCATTTTTTGATTCACTACCAATAGTTTACCTAGTCATTTTTCATTTTAATGGTTGTTTTAATTTGATAAATGGCTTGCATGTTTTAACCCTACATGCAAAGCGACGTGATGAGGAGGCTATGAGAGCGTATACACTAGTGTATTGCTGTCATACAGATATCTGTAAAGCCGGAACTGATACGACATTAGGAAACAGACAGTTTTAAGAGTGTACTRTGATGCTAAAGCTTATAAGTTGCTCATGTAAAATGGATTTATAAGCAACATAAACAAATTTATTGAAAATTCGTAAAAAATCGCACGGCGACAAACACATAAAACTGATGGATTTCGTGAGAAACTGGCCTGATTAAATTCATTCTATCCCTTTTTTTGTCTCTTTTTTTGTCGTTTTTTCTTTTTTCTTTCTTTCTTTTTTTTGATTGAATATATCGTAAATGCCTAGATCTATGAATAAATAAACGAATCAAGTAAAAATTGGTACGAAACCTAATGAGATTCATTAAAATGTAATGGGAAAAGAAAAGCCACTAAATTGTAAGACATCAAAAGTCGTTGAAAGAGAGAAAGAGCTGGTAGGAAACTTAATTACATGTACATGCAATATACATGGGTTAATGATATTACATATGTGGTAACTATGTGATTTAAAGCTAAATATCTGTGTTATTAGTGCAAGAATTTTTGTTGATTTATAGAATATATCTTTGAAAATAGAAGATCTAGTTACAGGCTTAGATTCATTGTTATATTGTCACTATAGCTGGTCACAATCCTTAGGAAAATGAATCGGAAAAAGAAAAAAAAATGAAAAGAAAAGAAATAGAAAATCAAGCGCGAAGCAGGAGAAAGGCAACGGAGCGCCGCAGGGCTAAATGGTCTTTATGAAAGTTAAAATTAAACCACACATCTTGAATTAACACAGAAAATGCTAGGATTAAATAGTCTATAGGTAAGCAAAGTGAAAAAGATTTAATCGATTTGCAATCGTATTTAGCAAGAAAATCGCGAATATCAATAGATATTACCCATTATTTACCAGATTTAATAATCAACATGAGCACATGACTGTATAATCTATATAGTATACGTTAGATATATGCAATGTACATATAGATAACTAAAGCATGCTTTAGGTGTTAGTTAAGGTCTTCACTGATGCACACTGTCGAGTTTGCGTACCGTTTATACTATTGTTTTTAATCCCTTTGAAGACAGAGAACAATACAAAAACGCCAAGAAAACGCATCAGTGTGCACGCAGTCTAAACAGTYGWAATCCATGATGATATATGCCGATACAATATATKGCRAGTTTGTAAAAAGCAATGAGGTATCCAATAGAGTTGGAACCCAGCGTAAAAGCATCTGTTTTTCAAAAGACAAAATTATGTTGTCGTCTTCCTTAATTCAAACTAAATATTATGAAAAGCATTGATATTTTTCTTCAAATATTGTTCATAGGAGGCATCTCTAATTCAAACGCTTTTTTGGTAATGTGTTTTGCTACAATATATCATTCTCTTACTTTTCTACGATTGCGTCCTCCATTTTCTGCGATTATTTCCTCTAGTTTTCATATTTTTTATGCTCTTATTCACAATTCAATATGAATGTAGTCAAATTTAACTTTATTATTGTAACATTGCTTTTAAAACCTGGATCGTCCTTTATTTTCAAATTTTCATCTTCAAAACAAGCAGCATAACAATATCATGATTTAGATATACAAACATAACCCTTCCTAAAAATATTGCAACATGTATGCTTTATTGATTATGTTCTTGTCATTTTAAGATCCAAATTCCCGAAATTAAATATCAGATGCAAGTACTTTAAAAGGGTTAATGGYCTTCGCGATATAAACACGGACGGTCTGGCCTTAGGCTTTTAAGAGCAACTATTCATACAGAAAGCAATGAAACAATTAATAACACTTTTACATTATGGTACACATGAGAGGGTACAAATTTCTTCAATGGCCTTTTTCTGAAATATAATTGTAGGYCTTTTAAGGCGATTTTTTGCGTTTTCTAGGCGATTTTAGAGAGTTGTTTTAGGTGATTTTAGTTGTGATAGTTAAAGTAATTGATAATTCAGTTTCCTCTTCCAGGGTAAAACTTAGAATTGGTCTGAGCTTCGCTTTGGCAAAATACCCGTGAATGGAATGAAGGCGCAATTGGCGATTGCTAAGATGTCATGTTATTCATTAATCTCATATCTTTTTCACRGTWTTTCACACTATCAGCTATAAGACTAGCTATTTCCTACTCARTGCAGGTGCTAGGAAAACAACTGAAAAAGACATGCTATATTTATATTCGTGGTGGTAAAAATCTCGTTATCTTTGTTTCCTAGAGTTTTAAGACTACAGACTGAACAATATAGTACTTATATTTTTCAAACGTTGAACTTCACACGTGCCTAACCCAATGCAAATTAATCAGGCTGAGCAGGTTTAACAAAAACTGCACGATTCGGCGTTTCAATCGAGACGAGACAGCTATATTTGAATCATTTCATTGGAATACTGAAGCCCTCTGGGCATATTGTTTCATAATTTGGAATTTTGAAATGGCGTATTATATGTAAGTAGAGCTTTAAATCCGTTACAGGAAGATGCACTTTTGACTTTTTTTCTTCTACTCTAAGCATTTTCTTTGTGTCTGCGTTTTATCCGTATATTGATTGATGCACTAGACGCAGATGTGAGAATAAAGTTATATATAATATATATTGTTGAATATTTGAAAAGTTCAATGTACAGTCCCATTAAATTTGTATGAATCCCTCGAGGTATTGCTCAGACGTCGAATGTCGCATGTGCATAACAAAGTACATATCAATGATAATGAGTATAAACAAACGATTTTAGTAAATTGCATTGACTTCAGTACATGAGAGATTCGCTTTTTAAAACAAGCCTTCGAATGGCTTATTTAATGTGATAGACGCATACAGATTGAATCCTTATAAAGCCAGACATGATTCATTATTAATATAGTCGCTTTATACAGAAGTTCGACTTAATGAGGCTCCCAGACGACTTAAAAATAGTACAAAAACACAACTCCAGTGGTTTCTTGGATATGGTCAGAATCGTTTCGAAGGGTTCATTCAATGTGAATCGAAGAGTGTATGTATAAACAGTAAGATAAAGGAGGGGAACTTCCAGATCAAATTAGTTTTACCTACAGATCTAGATAACCATTTATCTACCTCTTGTTCACCTGGTTCGTTCCCTTGGTATAACTTAAACATGTTCCTTTTTATTCATGTCACCTATAGTGGAATAACTTAAACTATCAATGGAATCTTCGATCAACCATATGCCACATTAACTCTATGACAAATGTAACAATTATTCGAACTTTCCATTACGTATTCTGATCATGTCCAACTCAAATACTTGAATCCATCTATATACTTGAAAAAATGGAGCAAGATTCATCACTCGAAGGATACGTAAGTTAATTAAGAATTTCTTAGTCAGTTCTCATAACGAGATAGTGACCAAGATTTATTAGATATCATATATTTTCAAAAGATTAATAACTGAATTCATTCTTTAGTTCATTGTAAATACCTGTTCTGATATAATGAAAGTTATCTGAAAAGGTTTGCCGAAAAGATTGGAAGCCTAATTCGTACACTTAATCCAACGAATTCAAAAGTTTTCCAAGTAATCCATTGTTTAATCCAGTTTTTATTTGTAGGCCAACGGATCATAAACATCTGTAAATATATAGATTGATAATAAAAAAGAAGAACGAAAAGACCGAAAAATCAGACTCCAAGCAAAAAGAACTTCAAACTGTGAAAATACGCAAAAACACTTCATTTTGCAAAAAAAATGATCTATTTACTTAGGGAAGAGTCTCAATATTATTTTCTATATATAATCAGAGAGATAAACAAATAACTGTATAGATAGAACAGTTCCGATGTTTTTATTGCTATTCCAGACACCAATATGGCTACGTGTTTATAATTCCTTTGATTCAAATGCACCGAGACAGCACGGCTTATAACATAATGGGAACTAATGTCCAAAAACAATTTCATTCAATCATACATGCAAATTAAACTATCAACATATACTACGATATATACTGGGATTTATGGTCTCCATTAATGTCAAGTGCTTAGTCTTATAATGAAATGCATAGGCATACACCGTACGTTAGATTCATCGTGTCAATTATGCGTTGCCATAGATGTACATTATCACTGTGAATAAGAACTKTTTGTATAATGAATTAAATACTGAAATCAAAATATATAGGACAAGTAAACTTATTCTCTCGGGTGAACTGAATTGACTGGAAACGTTTCAGTGGCGGATCCAACTGGTGGGTGCATGGGGGGCGCACTCCCTCCTGGGATTAATTAAGGGACTGTCATTAGAACACCATATTGACACTGAATTTCTGATCCGGTCCTGGAAATCTCATGAGTGAGGATTTCCCTTTTGGTGTCTGGTTGACTTTCTTCATTAGACACGAATGACTATTGCTGTTTTTTGGGAATAATAGTTGATTGTACAGATGGGTATTCTCACCGACAAACAAAATATTCCAMGCGTACCAGTCAAGCTGAAAACATATGGTAGTAACGATCCAAAGACACTTTATCGAAATCGATTTTACAGATCATTACGTAAGAGCATACTCCTCTTGTCAACATAATATTATAAACGATTTCATGATATTAACGATTTATTTCTCAATATAAAGAATTATTGTCGTCATTTGGTGGTGACGTCACATTTGGCGCTCATTAAACTTACATAGAATTCAAGAAAGGTCGTTACGAAATCTTTTCTCGACCACATTTAGTATTTCTAGATAACGCAATTGAGATGTAAATAAATACTATATATTTGGCGAAATGACCGGATGCTTAGATGTTGACAGATAACTTATAATCTAATAACAGTGACGTATGCAATGAATATGAGCAAATTAGTCGTATACATCAATGAGATTCGAAATGAGTTCCTATATGTTACAATTTTAATCATTCTAGAACCATAAATCATGATCATTGCCTAATTGTCCAATGGCTTTATGAGATAATAAGTTTTTGGTCATTGCTGGACAATCCATTATGGCGCCGTTTTAAGGTTCGAGAAAACATAATCTGTTAATTCGAATAATCCATCGTTCGAAATGAAAAGTGTGYTGTCCGCACGRTTGTCTTTTCTTGGGTTATTWCTGTTTGTTACTTCCAGGTGTATAGACTCGGTTCTACCGGTGATGAAAATATTACTTGTAATATTACTGTCCATTTCCCTGATCCAAGGAAACTCATAACTTATCAAACTCAATAGATTGGCAGGTKCCTCGAGGGAAAACAATAGTTCCCCTAGTCGAACCAATCAGAACATTCGTAATTGGAGATTGGGAACACACAAAGTGCAATACCAGATAAAATATAGAAGAAAAAATAACGTATCGAAAATCACCTTCTGTTTTTGGGATTGACTTTGATCAGTCTTCCTAAAGAGAACCTTCGCCAAAACTCCATACATCTTAGCACAGCAACAACATGCCAAATCTCGATCCATAGCTACATGAATTTAGCCAACAAAGCAACTTCAAATCAAGATTTCTTTTTCTATTTTAATACAGATGGAAAGACCAAGCTCGAGCGCCGGTAGGAGAGGACCCAGACGAAGTAAGTATACAAGACATTATTAACCTAAACGTGCACTATTGATCAGATATTATCCATTGCTAAGCGATACGACTATACGAAAAATATGTCGGTCAAGCGACGAGAAATAACGCGTGTCTGCCTGTGTTTACATAATTCCTCAAAAGTTTTATCGATCGTAAAAAGGACCTTAAAGATTTTAAGCTGCAGCTTATAGGCGCCAACCTTTGATTAAATTATAGAGCTTTATATATATATATTCACAAGGGCTGGAGCCACGATCCAAGTGTCCATTTTTTTGATGGATAATCAGTATAGTATTGCATGGAATAGAAAAACACAAACATTGTTTTGTCGACCGTTGTTAGCACTTTGCCGCTGTACTTTATTGTTGATATTCGGTCGAAAAGAAAAATGAACAATCAGATGATAAAAAAATACATATCAACTTATTACAGTTATTACACCGCTGATTCGCGTATCAGTTTGTCTCAATTGAATGAATCTTCACTCGTTCAGTTTTTCCTTTTTGTTTAGCGTGCTTGAAATGCAGGTGTGCAAAGATAAAATATATTTCACGTGTATGGAGCTTTTAATGTCTCGTCGTGCCGGTCATAGGCAGRCGTATTTGAAAAATACAACACCGTTTATTTACAAACACGCATTAAAGCTCTTTTACTGCGGTTTCCTCGTTTGCTTTCTCCGTTAAAAAGTCATAATCAATTTTAACTGTTGTTTTTGCATAAATCGATTGGTATCCTACAATGTAGATTTGCATATGTCGTATATGAGAAATATATCTGGGAAAAAACAGTAGGCGGAGTGAATATAGATTATATATTGAATACGAGTTATAAAACACGTTTGAAACTGAATACTAAAATCTATATGGCTGATATATGTGTACTGTTGGAGTAAAAGGAACATTGTACGTATTAAGGAAATAGTCACACGCTATGGAAAAACAAAGAAAATGCTACTAACAAACAATGGCAAAAAAAGAGAGAGGCCATCTATCATTTAATAAAAAAAATAGACTCAAGACTTGTTCACAGTCAATAAAACAGATTGGCAAAGCAAATAAAAGATAGCAAAGAAGAATGCAACGAGGAACTCATTTACAATTGCATACACTACAACTATAGTAAAACTATTACCCACAATTGATAATAATGCGACAAATAGTGTCTTTTTTTAATTATTTTAGAAATTTCTTATATGCATATTATGCTGTATATAGATGTTCTCTCCCTTTTTCTACACTACAACTATAGTAAAACTAATGCCCACAATTGATATTGATACGACAAATAGCGTATTTAGTTTTCTTAATCCTTTTGGAAATTTCTTATATGCATATTATGYTCTATASAAGTGCTCACCTTCAATATTRATAACATGGTTTGGCAACTATTTAGCATTATACTTAATAAGCATTACTTACGCGCAGATCTATTCTATATACACATAAACATAGTAAGAGAAATACAATCCAAAAGAAAATGGTATTTTACAAAACAAGGAAAAAACTTTCTAAAAATGGAGTTGTGTAATGTTTATCAGTCATTTTCCATGTAGTCGAAAATGATCTTTGCAAACAGACATATTTTGTCCCTCAAATATACTTATAGTACTAAGAACATTCTTGATTAAAACGTCGCGAGACTTTTTTCTTATGCTGACCGTGYATTYAGCTGTTTCAGAAAACGTTGAATACTGAAGATAGAGCATTCTCAGACTGAAATGCATTGTTTGTCGTTCTATCGTGGTTTCAGAGTAATAGGTCCATAGTTTAGTTGTCATTTTGTAACGCAGTTAACGTGGAGTTTAATGCCAAGAATGCATTACGTTGTCGGAATGTACCTTATTCGTACTAATTTTCGCAGGCACTTAATTTCTATCTATTTTTTAAATCTAAATGCTTCAATTACAATTACATTTTTGCGTTAACTTTAATTTTGCGTTTTTTTAATTTCGCRATTTAGCACAGTGTCACATTAATAGTACTCAACGTGTGAAATAGTTGTAGTGCCCACGTATAAGAGTTTCCATTGTAATCATTGAGCTCATGGATTGAGGTGGTTTTCATACTATGTGAAACGAAGTATACCGCCCATTTTTAAAAGCTTATTCACCTAATAAGACATTTCCAATGTTCCAATTACAATGTGACTAATTTAAAAAAGTCACTTTCTGTGTGGTTTAAAATGGTCTAGAATTAATGTCCGGGACAATATGTGATTTGAGTTTGTAGGCTGGTTCTCTTCCTTGCTCCGAGGGTTTTTCTCCAGGTCCGCTGGTTTTCCTCCCTCAGTCAAAGCCTCACTGTGAGGATTGTCGTGTAGTAAAATAATGAATGTTGAGGTAGTGAGTATGAGTGAATGAATAGAGGGCCACAAGTTTATTAGTCTAGAGACTGTCACGTGCTACATTCTCAAAATAAAAGACTATATTTTTTTATTTATTAATGTCAGGTGCGTTTTAATGGAGAAATGACAGGGTATTATCAATAATCTATATAGACATTAAAGAATGCTCCACGTGTAGAAACTGAATAAATACTGAGTAGATGACAATTGGAACACTGGAAATATCAGGTGGACAACCTGACCTTTTCAAAGTCGGTTGTATATAATACACCAAAAATGCAAAGAAAAGCATGCAAAATATAGAGCTTACACGGGTTTATGATACTATGGGTGACTATTATATAACCACGCACATARATACAGTCACCTCTCGCTATTACGGGCACTCTTGGGACCGTAATTTAGTGTCCGCAATAGCGAGAGTCCGCGAGTAACGAGAGTTACTTTCAGTCATTTCTCTGTATTTTCGCCGGGGATTCAGTACTGTCCACAATATCGAGGTATCCGTGGTAACGGGGTGACTGTATAGTTAAAGTATATGAATGATGACATAGTATCGTTCATTTCTGCAGGTGTGGCTGGATATGAGCACATTGAACAAACTCAACAGCTCATGACGTCAATCATTCATGAACTGGTGCAAGCTGGTGACATAGCTGCTCTTCGAGAAGAACTACGAAGAGATCAARGTGAGTTTCTCATGTAAAAAGATTGCTCGTGTTCTTTTGCATCTTTGCGTTGTTTACAAGAAGTATTATATCATATACAACTATTTTACCGTATTTGTATGCGGTATGGACGGAAAACTTGGTCTCTTCTTCTTCGCAGTAATAATAATAAATAATAATAATTTATTAATTTATATAGCACTACTATTATAAAATATTCAGTGGCGCTTTACAATATGGTGCAAAATTAAAATTAAGAACTATWTAGGTAATGAATATATAGATATTTATATCAAAAGTTGAAAATTGATCAAGGAAAAACCTAATATAAATGTTCAAAAGCCTTTTTAAATATAGAAAAGTCTTTATAGTAGTCTACTTTTAAAAACACAGTTATTGAATAAAGCATGTAAAACCAACAATAGACAAAATAATCTAAAAATGTAGAGTGCAAGTCACATAAGCATGAAACAATTCTTAACTATGTAGTGCTAAATAAGATTTAGTTATCAACTAACTAAGAATTGAGAACAATGCTACAAAGGAATTTTTAATAATTGGCATTGTGTTTATGCTTTGTTGAATTCTTATTTAGTTGACAACTAAATCTTATTTAGCAATACATATTAAGAATTGTTTCATGCTTATGTGACGTGCACTCTATGTTAAATATAACTATTATTTCCATGGCAAAAATCATATCAAAAAGTAAAAAAGAAAACGAAAAAAAGCGAGTTTCGTCGATGTCGTGCTAATCATACATTAATTCATGAACTAAATCAAGCTCTTTCATATCCWGCTGTCAGTTTCTATTTGAGAAGCCAAGATAAGTAAAGTGATTATTTCTAAGTTCTTTGTTTGCACGAGGAAATTAGGCTAGAATTATAAGAACTTGTAGCAATCAGTGCTAGACGATCGATTCAGATTATCTCACCATTTACAGTCAATCCAGCTCTCGTTATAACGACCGAAATAAAATGTCCGTAATACTGAGTGTCCGGTGTAGAGAGAGTTCTTTGAAATACAGTCAACCCTCGTCTTGCCGGCATCGTTATATCATGGAGATTTAAGGCCCGTTTACACTTACGATTTTTGCAGTGCGATTGTCGCGCGGCAATCGCCACTTGTTCTCGCGCACCTCAAATCGTAAGTGATCGAAAACAGCCCTGCGATTGTCGGCTTCGATTTCAGGCATGTTCGAAACTCAGGCGATTGTCGCACGACAATCGCTCTGCAAAAATCGCAAGTGAAAACGGGCCTTTAGATACATCTCCGTCAATAAAAAACTGCAAATTCTTCGTTTTAACTATACGTCACAGTGGCCATCTTGGAGGAACTTCAACAAAGGATTTCTCATTAGYAYCTATTGTTCATATGGACGCCGGTCTTTTTCCCTTTGGATCTCATGGGAATTATTGAAAACAATCATTAACTCTTGTTAAAGCATACACTCGCTAACGAAGAAACTTTATTTCGGTCGCAAAGATGCTGTTACAAGGCGATTTACTTGATATCGAACCACAATGCGAATGTTGACATCACTGGCCACATTTTGTACTTGGTTTTTAATGTCTTATTTCTCCTCAATCATGGCCATGCATTTAAAGAAATATCATGCGATGTTTATTATGGGATACCTCTCGGTGTAAAATACAATTTTTTTGACTTAGTCATTGGTACTCGGAAAAAATTGTTTGTGACTTTGTCCATCCCCATTTGTTGGGCTTCCTGTCTGAATAGGAAGCCCATCACATGTTGATGCCGCAAAGGAGTCTATTATACACTTTGTAATTTCAATTATTGCTTCAAATGATCTTTTACTGACACCGCCATGATCTTTAATTATAAAATAGCCTAATGGCAAAGAAAAGTTTGTAAGTATTTAATTGTATACACAAATTAAGTTAATCGGTTTCTTCAAAACAGTCAAATGTACTGATTTGGAGATAAGTTTCACATCGGAAGTGTAGAATTWAATCATATGACATTATTACCACGGCAGTTCCTATGAATAATCTGATAAACGCTCCAAGGAAGGCCAGCGYTTATTTTTAAATTGACGAAAAATTGAATTCAACATGGCGGTCGTCGTATCAGTAAAGACATCTTAGAATTCAAGATGGCGGCCATATTGTTAAAAAGATATCTCGTGTTTGAATTTCAGRTCTGATCGAGTGTCTAAATGGCGAAGGTATGACACCGTTGTTTGTTGCTGTTAGTATGGGAAATCTAGAATTGGTGCAGTTTTTAGCTACTTCAGGGGCGAAATTAGAYTCTAAAGATAACCTTGGAAGGACTCCGATAGCAYTGGCATCTTATCAGGTACGCAACCTAAAACTCTCCCTAGAAAGACAAACAACACCAGTGTTTTAATAAATATATGTGTATTAAGTAAATAATCATTTGCCCGGCAAGATGCAAAATGGAATGGACGAAAAAGCTGTTTTGTAGTTGTGTATTAGAGGATTCAGTTTCGACCTTTTTTCTCGAACACTGGACAAGCATTACTTACCAGAATGGTCATTGTATCCATACTCTATAGTGTAACCATCTAAGTTATGTTTTTCTAAAGCATCCTGGACAACTGATACTGATGATTTTACTATGAAAAAAACTTTGTTCTTTACTATAAAAAAAACTTTGTTCTCCTACTATAAAAAAAAACTTTGTTCTCCCGTAGTTTTATAAGACCTTCACCATGATGATGTTTTTATCAATACCATGATGCACTTCGCCAACACAAATATGACGTCAATAGTGGACGTCATTAGTGGAAAGAACCATTGCAAGACTTAATAGAAAAGTCTTAACAAAAAAGTATATATATTTAGGAAGACTGTACTCTGGCTAGGAAGGCGCATRAAAATGGCACTAATAAAATAGTACGGTTTCATTGTGTGGATGCGACAACAATACCTGCTGGGATAGACTGGAGTGAATCTCGTATGACTGTGCAAAAAAAAAAACAGCACTTTCGAGCAGTAACCGTACAGTGCCCTTACGGTGATGTGTTCTTGAATCACTATTTCCACTACCAGGCAATATTTTGTGTCCGTGCCGTGATCTGCGCAATTGCACARCCAAACGAARTCCGCTCTACAACGAGTCATTGGTGTATTACTGACCTTGGGTGTTTTGTAGGGGTGGAACGACGGTGTGTACTACCTTCTAGCGTTAGGAGCAAATCAAACGATGGTAGATAACTGTGGAAGACTTCCTCTACACGCMGCTACTTATTACAGCAATCAACGGTAAAAAAARGTCTCCTCTATACKCTTCTGTTATAGTAGTTATGGGGTACGGTATAAGGGTACGTCGGTCTCGCGGGACAATGTGTAGTCAATTCTTGTTATAACGGACATCCTCAGCACTATTGAATTAGTGCTTGTTAAAGAGAGTTTAGTTTTGATTTAGTTTATAAGTGTTTGATCGTATATATTCCTCCTCCCTTCTCGACTCTCACTAAAACTTTTTATCCTTGCAGAACTGTTCAAATTCTTCTCAAGCAGCTTCCTATTGAGTATGTTAACACGCAAGATTGCGAGGTACAATCTTTTATAGCTATCATATCTCGGTATATTCATATGGTCTCAGGTCAGTTAGTGGAGCTTCTAGCATTGCTACAGGCAGCCCAGCGCTCAGAATTTAACATTTTCTGTATTTTTACTCCATAATACAAATTACAGAACGGCCCATAATAGCGTGTAATTTTTTWAAAAAAAATTMTGTTGCTTCCATAGGGCATGACTGCTTTTCATTGGGCTGCTTTCCATGGTCGAGCTGATTTAGTTGCACTTTTAGTTGAAAATGGAGCCGAGCTAATAGCACGAGATAATGAAGGGAAAACTCCATTACATTGGGCAGCACAGGTAAGAACATTTAACCAGGGAGGGGAGTGAAGGGGATTTTTGTTTCTATCTAATGTCTGAAGCAGATCTTGTAGTCTCACAGGTACAAGAAAAAATGCCCGCGATGCAAGGGATTCGAACCCTTGAATATGAGGATTGACATGCATAATAAAACATAGATTTCCGCCTATAAAATGCGGCCGTAGGGTACGCGTTTACGCGTGTCCTAGCTGACCGAATCACGTATAAAAAATAACAGAAACTGATACATTTCAYGACATCCGCTCTAACTGAGCCTGGACTGTGTCAGCCTGAATAGTTTCTTATATAACTGGTACTTAACTTGAAATCAGGCTCTAAAGGTTCTTACAMTTGGTTCTTAATTTTTGTAAGAAAAAGAGTTTGGTGGGTGTGTTTTTTTTAATAATTCACTCATTTTCATGCTAGCATAGATATATTTTAGAATATAATCGAGTTCAAACACAGTGAAATCACAGTAGGTGCCGCATTTTATTGTTTACTAGAAAATAAAACAGATTGACTATTAACATAGAAGAATATACTCTGAAATTTCAGGCTTGTTATATGAAGGGTGCTTAAAATGAAAATTTCAGCCTTATAGGTTTTTAAACGTTCTTTTACGCAGGGTTTTAATACTTTAAAAAATTAAGGAAAATTGAGTTGAATTCAGAATAAATGGTTTGCCACATTGAATAAAAAGCTTGATCTTTCTGATTTCATTCAGCGAATCCTCGTGAAGGCTTTGTGTCCTCAAAACATGGGTTTTACTTCCGCTTACAGTCGAATTGCGGCCCATGGTCGAGGGAAATGTTTTTTTTTTGCCGTCTACTCTTTCCCAAGTTGGTTGTCTTTCATTACGTTCATGCGCGGAGCAGTTATGTAACATTGATGCATGGTGTTGGAGGATAATCAAGCGTCGTTCCCAGTTTCTTCACTATTCGTCTTGACGGAATAGTGGCATGGGACAAGGTTTGCGTTCACGTGCAGAGCAGTTATGTAAGTAACATTGATGGTGTTGGAGGTGTGGCTAGTGCGATTAAATCAATTAGCTATGTAGCTAATCAAACGACTAATTGCCACTAATGATTAGCAAAGAGAGAGCAAAACAGATGTTTTATGTTAAAAATAGTCCGCAAGTTATCTTCTGTCTGCACATAAAAAAGGAAATCATTCCCATAATGTAACAGAGAAATGAACAGTAGGACGAGTCTAGTCTGACAACAGACACATGCACAACTGTGTTTGTTTTTGTGGATATCTGTTTGTTTGTTTGCATACTGGTAATTAGTACGATGAGAGAGATGTCCATTTAATTTTTTTCGATTACTTTAATTCATCAAAAAACTAATTATAGACATTTGCTGATTGAAAAAAAAAGATATCATAAATATTAATAACTAGTCGCAACATTGAGGGGGAAAAACACTGGAAAAAGATCCTTACAGATTTCAGTTCAGAATGGGATGTGCTCCCTCTTCTCCCGACCAAAAGTCTCGAGTAATTTCAGAAGATATTGAAAGTAAGCTTGACGCTGGCAATGAAAGACAACCAAGTTGGGAAAGAGTAGACGGCGAAAAAACATTTCCGTCGACCAAGGGCCGCAATTCGACTGTAAGCGGAAGTACAACCCATGTTTTGAGCACACAAAGCCTTCACGAGGAGTCGCTGAATGAAATCAGAAAGATCAAGCTTTTTATTCAATGTGGCAAACCAGTCGATAAAAGAAAGAGCAAGGATAGTTACTGTTCCATAAAGCAGCAAAAACAAGAGTTCAGGAGTAGAGAACAAACTTGGTAACATATCAGTAACAAAATCCAACGGACAGTAGAAATTCACAGAAAAAAAAATGTTGAATATTTGAATGAGGGTAACAAGTCATTCGATCGTGACCAAAGTTAGGCTTGTCGAGTTTCGTGATATTAGACATACATCTTTCAAAAACATTTGTCGGATAAAATGGCGAATGTCAACRTACTGTCGAACGGCGAGTGCAAGACKGAAAGTGGCCATGGCGTTTGATAATTGACAATGAATTGATGAGGGAAAAAAATATTTTTGTAACAATGTATATATGTATTAATGTTAACAGTCTCTAAATATTATTTTTCGACTAATGTATTTAGTATACAATATATGTAAATAAATTTATACATCTTCTCACTTTACTTGAATCAGTCACATCTCCACTATCCGAAAACATTTTTTCAAATATTTTTTCCCTTTAAATCTTAAATTCTAGTTTACTTTTTCTCGAAATTAGGCATTGTTGCTGTAAGATGGTGCCCCTTTTTACCAGGCAAGCTAGTTATATATATATATATGATATCAAAGAGGCAAGATTTTGCTGTAACTCCGAGTTTCGTGCTACGCACTCATCAGACAGTATTTAAGATTTTGCTGTAACTCCGAGTTTCGTGCTACGCACTCATCAGACAGTATTTTGTATATATGTATTAATGTTACACCCGATTTCAAATGAGTGCGAACTCTCGAATTTTTTTTTGAACGCTAAACTTTCACTCGACCGTCATCAACCTCGTCCCCAGGGCCATCTCGGCCGACTCCTTTTCAAGATGGCGGTCGTCGGGGAGATGGCCCTGGCGTTGGCTGGAATCACGTGATCAAAACCTCCAAGATTTTTGGAGGTTTTGATCACGTGGCTTATCTATTCAAAATGGCGCTCGAAACGTGAACTCAACGGTTTCACAAACTGGGATAGCTGTGGTGGGTCGGTATTTGCTTTGTTTTGATGATTTATTTGAAAAATGTCCTTCCGTCCTGCCGTCATCGGCAGTGTTGACCCCTAGACCGCCTACGGGAGTAGATCCAGTTCATTCTAGAATTCTTGAGGGATCCGCTCACTGCAGAAATCGGCGAGTAGAAGACTTCTATAACATCGAATGCTATCGCTAAATATATCCGTCAAGTTAAATTTCTTACACGAGTAGTTGGCATCTCAAAACCACGCATTGGACAAGAGAGACATAAGAGGACAACTGACAAGAATTCCAAAGAATATCGTTGCTTTTTAATCGACAAAACGTACCTTAATTAAATTTCGGGAATATTTGAATAAAAACAATGAACGCATCGTAACGGTTAAATCAATAACCGATCAAAGACCTAACGGTTATCCGGACATACCGACAGTGTCGAACACATCCCGACCTATAGACGAACATAAACAGCCAATANCAAATAACATCGTCCTGGAGAGAGCTAGTATCTTAAGTATTTTTGCCTTTTTAAAGCTTAGACGTATGCGTTGGATTGGGCATATGATACGTATGGACGATGGGAGAATCCCAAAAGACATTCTCTACGGAGAGCTCATCGAGGGAAAACGTCCAATTGGCAAACCAAAGCTACGATTCAAAGATATTTGCAAGCGTGACTTAAAATCACTCCGCATCGACCTAGACAAATGGGGATCCATCGCTGCTGACCGAACATGCTGGAAGCACTCAGTGAACGAGGCCATCTCGCACTTCGAGACTTCTCTCAGACAGCAGCGTGATGAGAAAAGACTGCAAAGAAACACCGCAGCAAGATAACTCAACCATCTTCATCTAACTTCATCTGCCCCAAATGTCAAAAGGACTGCCATGCCTTCATTGGCCTAACAAGCCACACGAAACACTGTTTCTAGTGTACAGCCAAAGTCATTCGTGACTGATGGATGCCTACTACTACTGTAGTTTAAATTTGGCTTTATTAACTTGTACTGAAACATCAAATGTATGCAAATAATACTTTGCACAATTAGGTATAGCTTGCAAGAACCATGAACTTGAGGGTGTTGTTTTCTGCATCGTGAAAAGATATTAGTCTTATGTTGAACTAATATACACATTTTTCTTTTCTTTCGTTATGTAAACAATTTAAATTTACAATAAAAAAATTATCAAGCAAGCGAAAAAATAATTGCAACATTGTTGTTTAAATTAAAGGTTGAAAACGAAGTAGCTTATGATTGTTTAAATGTAACCTTCTTTCGAAGAAGTAAATATATTCTTATTCGTATTACTGTAAAAAACCCGATTGATTGAATACAAGTTTACAATGACACTTACATGTGTATGTACAGCAACATTTCCTGTACGTTTATAAAGTTGTCGAATTTTACAAACAAAAATTTTCCCTACAAATAACGCCCTACAAGTTTCCTTAATGCTTGAACCGTAAATAAGTTCATGGTAAATAACCTTCCACCGAATATCGTCCGATAACCTCTTCATTTTAATCAGAAAACCAGTAAAATCAACAAAGAACAGCCTACGAACACTAAAAGCGATTTAAAGTGCGCGCGCTTGTCAGTGTTTGTCATGCTATTTATTATTCAACTGTTTCGTTGTAATTGTGAGCTGAGAAAGTTAAGTAAACCGAAACTAGTTTTTACAATAASTTCGTTTTGTAGTGCGATCACAAAACCGTAGGAATTTAGCCCACAGACATACWTTAACCATGGCTTTTATACTTGGATAATTTTACCCGCTTCAAGCTGTGCCAGGTTACCAAGTGGTCGAGTGAATGACGGTCGAGTGAAAGTTTAGCGTCCGAAAAAAAATTCGAGAGTTCGCACTCATTTGAAATCGGGTGTAACAGTCTCTAGATATTATTTTTCGACTAATGTATTTAGTATACAATATATGTAAATAAATTTATACATCTTCTCACTTTACTTGAATCAGTCACATCTCCACTATCAAAACATTTTTTCAAATATTTTTTCCCTTTAAACCTTAAATTCTAGTTTACTTTTTCTCAAAATTAGGCATTGTTGCTGTAAGATGGTGCCCCTTTTTACCAGGCAAAAGCGTTTTTTGCCAGAAAAAAGAACGAAATGTGGGAGACAAAATTCATTGACATATGTTGGGCAGAGTTGTTATGTAGGGTTTTATACTAGTGCAATGCGCTCTGTCATTCGTCATAAGTTATTGTTTTCAGCCCATTATCCTGGTAATTGTTCCTATGATTGCATGCTAGCGYGTGGTTCGGTTTTCAAGATTTTCTTGGTCCGCGGTATCACGGGAATTCTAGTGAAAAGGAGTAAAATGACTCACCCAGTTTTCGCGATTATTTACAGAATGGTAGTGTGGACTGTTGCCGGGCTATATTAAACACAGTTGCTGGACAACATCTTCTCAATGGAAAAGACTTCTCTGGGAAAACCCCTATACATTTTGCTGCCGCAGCTGGTCACGTTGATGCTTTACAAGAACTAATTACAGAAAAGTTCGCTAACATTGGTCTTGGAGATGCTGAAGATAGGTATACAACACTTTAAAAAAAAGAATTTAACAAATTGCGCACGATTTCGAGCTGTATGTCCTCTTATTGACACACTCTTGGAGTGTGATTCACGAGTTGAGAGAGTATGCTATCAATGATATGGTATTGTATGGGTATGGTGTGGTGTGGTTTGGTTTGGTATGGTACTCAGTATGATAGGGTATGGAATGGTTTGGTTTGGTATGGTACTCAGTATGATATGATATGGTTTGGTATGGTATGGTATAATATGGGTATGGTATGGTTTGGTTTGGTTTGGTATGGTATGGTACTCAATATGATATGGTATGGTTTGGTATATTTCACAGTATGATACGGTATAGAATGGTTTGGTTTGGTTTGGGTTTTGTTGGGATATGTTCGTGTTTGTTTTTCGTTTTCTTTATTACTATATTTGTAACGTCTGTCACATTGTTTCTTTTTACGGTGAAAGATTCATCGATAAATGAAAAAATATGAGCATTTTAAAAGAGCGTTTGCAATGTTTTTTAGAACACCTTTACACTGGGCAGCGGCTACTGGACATGCGCTGTGTGCTTTGGTACTTCTTCGTGCTGGTGCAGATAAAGACTGTGTGGATAAAGATGGAGCATCACCCCTCATGTACGCACAACAAAGGGGACATAAATTATGCTCTGAATTGATCTTCAATCACGATCCCGAAAACCCCCTCAACACGAGGCTAGCAGATAATATAGGTAATTATCTATCATTTATAAACCGCCATCTTGAAAGGTAACCGAGCCTTTACATCAAAACGAGACTGGAGTTGATACTGCAGTGATAGATACCTTTAACTCAACTGCTGTCTCGCTTAGACCAAAAGGTTCGTGGTCACGTTTTAAGATGGCGACGAGAACTATAAAATGAATATTCGCACATCATTATAGTCTTTATTACATTGACTTCGGCACATGTCAGATTCGACGTTTGAAACATAGACGGAAAATATAGATGACTTCGGCGAAATTATTCCGAAATTCATCCGACACGAGTACGGACTTGTGCTGAATGACATAGTGTTGTAATGTCTACGACGAAGTATAGCCACAAAAACTGACCTGCCGGAATCGAAAGGGATGTATATGTTTGCGGTTATTTCTTTGCTTGGCTTGATCTAAATATATCGTTCCTATAGTAGGATACCTACGCGGTTTTTATTGAAATTTTAATTGATATCTGATGTTTACAGCAACATTTCATACCACTGAGAGCGACTCTTGCAAAATATAAGTACCAGATCACAAAACTTGACGTTCAATATATTAATTTATTGAAAGCTATTTTGACCAGACTGGTTTGGTTTTTCAACGTTTCTTCTTCTCATTCTGTAGTATTCTTATAAGTCAAATCTTTTTTGATTTTATTCCTTAAATTTTATTTTTTTTTTTAATATAATAAAGGATGCAAATTTTCCTCTTCAAAAAAATGGCATTCTGTGTATAAGTGTGTCATTTTGACAAGATGGATTGATTTTATCAGTATTTTCCTTATCCTATCGTCTTTGTTTATACATGAACTCAACATTTTTTGTCAGGTTATTATCTTAATTMATTCTTTCTGTGCTGCAGGATTCAAATTGTCTTYTTTCCAATAAAATGAGCATGGYTTATTYAGCTTGTTGTCATGTATTCGTATGTTCAAACACTTTTCCTCTCGGTCGGTYAAATTTTTTCTTCATGATATTAAGATGTCTAAGCTCCACAGCAAAGTCCGTTACTACTGTCAATTTCCGTTTCCTACTACGCGAAACCCACATAGTCACAACATGAAGCCTAAATCAATTCCCAAAAACAACGCCGAATCTCTTATCAAAAGCGCACCTTTCCAAGAACACTCGAAGCGTTGCTTTGAGTGAATCGATGAATATTCATTTATATCGTTTTAGGACGCTAAAAACGTGGAGAATTGCGAGCAATTTCAAGCTAAAACAAACCATCAAGAAAGTCGTCTATMTTTCCTTAAATTGTAATTTACACGTTGCCATGGGAAACCTTTGTCTTGTTCAATCAATATGCATTGACGAAGTCAACACTCATTTTGTATTATAAATCTAAATCGACGTAGTGCGACGTGAATATCGGCGCTCCTAACAATAGAAGGGTTCTTGAAGCCGTTCAAGGTATCGTAAATATTTGTTGTATCATTTATTTTTGTATAACGCTAACTAGTTGTCTTAGGAAGGGTTTTTCGCTCGAACTTTTAAATTAAATGACACCTTTGTTTAGGATATCCTTCAAAAATACGTCCGCAGAATGAAAAGTTCTACTTTAAAATGATCAGCTTGCGATGTTATACACAAACTCTGATATAATACAATGAATCAGGTTCCAAGAGTTATAAGTCTTGCAGAATATATTGACATAATATCTGACAATTTGACGATTGAAAATGCTTTACTTCATGCTAAAAGCCACCAGGGTTTAACTTTGTACACCATGGCTAATGAATATTGCAAATCATATTTGCAAAAAAAATTGCATTTATCTTACATCACTTTAGACACTTATAATTTCAACTTTATTTCATGAAATTTATGAGCTCCTTTTATTCCCATTTCAACAATTTGACTCATTCAAGTCGTTCCGTTTGGAAAAAGTGTTTACAATATCTTTATTTATTCTTCTTAATGCATTCTATACCGATGCCAAGATATGTGTGTTTTCATATACTGTAATACAATACATTTTCAACGTTTTATCAAGACTACTTACTATTTCATATGTATACAAGTTCCTTGCAAGACAAATAGCAGTTGTTRTATAATTTCATGATTAATGTACCCTTTATAAATGGACATTGTAATTTAATGCAATCTTGATATAATACACCTTCAATATAATATCCTTCCATTAAAACATTTATTCCGTGGCAAGTGTTGATCACTGTTTCATGTTTAGCTCAATATATTTTCACGTCTCAGTGAACATATATTCCCTGTTGAAAAAATATCAATATTCCAATACTAAAACCCTATGAAAACTGCTCCTTGAAAAATAATGCTGTTGAAATTTGCACGATCAATACACAGTTGCAGACTCTGGAAATAATGCTACGATCCTGTTCAATCTCTATAAATTTCCTAGCTAGCATTTTGTTTTTCATTTTCGTTTTCCTCCATTAAAGTTTCATTGTATTTACGACTTTGTTCCATGGCAAAAAGTGTGAATTTATTATTTTTTAATTCAATGTCTATACTGTTTTCATGCTATGCTCCATATGAATATGTGATCACAGTTCAGCTGTCAACGGTGGAAAGCCTGGACTAACATTTAAAACATTCCCTGTCAAAATGAAATAATTTTTTATGGCGCCTACAGACTGATGACATCCGATCTGTAATAGCCTAGCTACTAGTCAKTTTCGCATTTTCCTKTGTATTTAATTAAGATATATACTATATATCCTTCTTTTTTATGAAAAYCGATCATTTATTGTAAAAAAAACTTATTGGCTACCTATTGCCATATGACATGTCTTTCTTAGGAGCTAGCASCGCATATCATCTCAAATTCAGTTTTGTTGAAACGTTTTTCAAGCTGCTTGTGTAGTTTCCAATTCATTAATTTAATTTATTTGTTAAATTAGAGCGTCCATATTATATTCTGAATCGTCCAAGTCGCCCAAAGACGCGTTTTTCATTGTTTTGTAGTTTCCTCAAGGAAATTAACGATAATGGCAAAAAAAGTTTTTAGTGGGAAGTCATGGGGCGATCGATTCGAGCAATTATACACGGACACTATAAGAGAAAAATCTATTTATATAAACCATGTCTCATCTTTAACGTGACAGTTGCAAAAATCTCTTTAAACATTGTTGTCGTTTTCTATGACAGTTAGATGATCTGTGATGATTGGATGCTGTTAAGTTTGTTTATTCATGATAGAAAAACCCTGCAGATCGCAGGTGTATAGAAATTGAAAAAAAAAATTATGTAGACAGAAAGTAAAAGGAAGAAACGAAGAAAGCTAGGAAAAAAAGAAAAGGAAGAAACGAAGAAAGCTAGGAAAAAGAGAAAAGGAAGAAACGAAGAAAGCTAGGAAAAAAAGAAATTCATTAATCGATTGTTATTCCTTAAATTGTGCAGAAAACTGTGATTATACGAGTGGGTTTTTTTAAAATATATTTTCCAAATCCCCTATTCAATATAACGAGGATATATAGCTCTTTCTTTTAGAAGAGGAGGATCTCTTGCTTTTGCATTCCCAAACTCTCATTTCCTAGGGCCTCTCTTGTCGCCATTTTCAAAACGTCGGACGAATAGAGAGGCCAGCGAAAGAGAAACAATGCATTCACAAAATATTATCATTGACCAATTATATACATTACATTTCACCAATAGCCTTCATTTCTCTTTTTTTTCAGTTGAAACTTCAAAACCAAGTACACCTCCTGAAATCCACATTGATACTTCGCCTGGCAGCTTTTCCATGAATGGTAAAGTCAGTAGAAATTCAAGTAGAAATTCAAGTACCACAAAATTAAGAGATATTGAAAAGACGGATGATAATGATAACGAAGTTCAGGAGATATTTAGTCAAAATGTTGAAGAGGTACTTGTGGAAGTAAATAATACCAATACCGAGAACAGTGAAAGTGAAAACCAACAAGGCGAAGGTATCATAAATACATATTTTGTGAAATAATTTACCAGGAAAAGTAGAGATCAGGTTAGAACGCTGTGGAGCCATAACAACACATTCAACTTGAATAATATTAAAAATAAAAAAAATGTTGTTCGAACTTTACAACTCTACTTTTCCTTGTGAAAAGTTTAAACGCCTACACTGCTTAAAGGACCACGTGCATCCATGAGCCTTTGCGCGATGTAAATCTTTGATTTTGAACCAATTAGAAAGCAATTTCTTAAAACAAAACAGGCGCAAAGGTATTCGGTAATGAAGGTGTGACTTTAATACCATGAGGTACACTGAGTGTCTATTGCGTTTCCGTAACTATTAAGTTGTGTTAACGTATCGTATTGTATATGTAGGACGCATCTCATCCCTASTGTGTGATTTACGTAAGCCTAGTCCAAGTGGCAGCACATCCGCATCGCCATGGCTGCGTAAGCATTCATTATTTATCCACGTAAACCTCGTCCATGATGTGTTGCGTTTTACGTCTCGTTGTACGGTGTTTTCCATTCCTGTTAAAAGTGATGTTGTTGCATTTATATTTGTAAGCTTCCTTCAAACAAGCAACGTAACTCCTTTAAWATTCTTATAGTAAGCGGATGTTACGTTTACGCTTGAGCATTCCGTGAATAAACGTAAACATTCTGTTATTATATGTTAACCTATAATGTAGGTGACATTTATCAATATTAACTGATTCTTTATAACAAAAACAATTAAGATGATATAAGCTAATCAATGTCCTTTGTGTGTATTTGTAAATTCGCAGTTTTCAACACGATGAATGGTCACCATAATGACGGAGACAACTCGGGATTTAGCAGTGACGATGAGTTCAGATATCCACCGCAAATGGTCCTAACACCGATCCCAGGGACATCCCCAATTCACATTGAAGATAACGATCACGACAGCTTTGAAAACCGCCCACCTATTCCTCTTTCAAGATTTAGTTTTGAAGTAAGTTTTACACAATTCTCTCCAGTTTCCAGCCTAGAGATTAATACGGCTTTAATCATGCATTTGTATTTATATTATTTCCAGGAAAACATACACGCACCATTCCTGAAACCTCCATCAACGGCTGCCGTTTTGGCGCCACTACGACCAAAAAGAGTTCCCGAGCACCTTCGTCTAGACGTCGGATACTCTTCGTCAACCGCGAAAACATTCGAATTTAAACCAGTGACGTCACCAGCTTCAGAACCAACACTTGCACCTTTGAAAATCTCTAAAGTAAAACAACAACCACAACCCATCAAGCAACAAGGCCTACCTCTAATGCAACAACCGATACCCAATCGACAACTAGTAGCATCGCCAACGAAGACAGCGCGAAGTGGTGGATCGGCGCAAAATCGAGAAGGGGGTTCGGACTCGGATTTTTCTCGATTCTGGGCTCGTAAAAAGAAACAGGAGCCAGTAATGAAGCCTTCATCATCAAGGTTTGTATCTTAGAGTCTTATTTGGAAAGTCATTCAGTATTCATATCTGATCAGTAGTATTAGTTTCTTGAGGTTTGCTTCATTTACGTTGCAATACGTTTCATTTACGTACGTACGTACGTACGTAACGATAATGTCTTGTGTAATAACTTTGCTAATAATTTGTCATAACGTTTTAATATATATAATATCTAAATAGTTCCAGGTGTAAACAAATGAATCGCTCCCTGTCTATCCCTGAGGAGACACGGTCAGGATCAGGCAGCAAGGGCGCATCTGGATTTACATACGGCGGATCAGATCTCAAACAATTGTGAGCCAATATCTTGTAACCAATAATATCACACCACTCGGTAGTCAYTTGAAAGTCTTGCCTAACGGCATGGGACTTGTGAGCTAAGTAGGGGCAGCGCTCTGGACAGTTTTTTTACTGTAGAAGTCATGTTCTATATTAAAGTGATAACTAACTTGGAAGTAATGTAAGAGACAACGCCGGTAGGCTGAGCAGTCCTCGATCCTAAGGCCAATTAAGTATCTTGTGCATGTTGCGTACTACAAGATTGCTACTCGATCGGTATCTTGGGGTTGATCCTTCGTAAGCACTCTAGAAGGCCTGCTACCTAAAATCAATCTTTCTGGGTATCCGTGATTTTAACAAAATTGGAAAAATCGATCATTTCATTCGATTCCCTTTCAAGCTGCATTTCAAGACATGAGTTTTAAAGATCTGGTTCTTTGTGACTTTTTCTAGAGTATTGATTTTTTWAAGACTTAGTTAGGATAGATAACAATGTACAGTCCACAAGTCACTACTTTATTGTATTTAATGGAAGATTTCAAATGGCTGCTGAGAGTGTGATTATATTCTTTATAATCTATAACCTTAAAATAACACTCGGGGATATTTCCTGTTTTCATACCTTTAGTTGGTGGTGCTTGGGACTAACAACATTGAAATAACTGTACTAAAAAGCATCATAGTAACTTTGTGCCACCACGTTTTCTCAACCATATTTTGACAGGAACAATTAATGAATGCATCAGAAATAATGAAATTATAGCTTGAAAATGCTAGCTAAAAAGACGAAAATGAGGACTAGTCTTCACTAAAAACCTGCGGATAACATGGCTATGAATATCAGAGCTGACGAGTGAATGGGAAACCTTTTCCTGCCTCCTTGAATATGCATGAGACAAAAAACTCGACAAACGCAATAAAACTATTTTGGTGATATTGAGTTATAAGCAGATAGTAGTGATTGCAATCAAGGGAAAGACAGGATGGGCCCCCGCCCATGGTTGATATATGATTATAAACTCCCGGGTAAATGGTATATGTTTCACCACCCAGTTAGACCCTCCAACTGCGAAGAATACACAAAACTATTGACTCACCAAACCAATATAGAATCAATTTCTTCATCTCCATCCAACAATGTCCAAAACTGTTCAAAAAATCGTCCAACAATGTCCAATAGTGTTTAGTGATCCAATGTTTCTTGTTTGGTGGAGGTTGTAAGACCCATCTTTATGAATGCATTATTAACACAAAGGCGACGTACAAAGGTGGATCCAGGTTTTTCTTAAGGGAGAGATCGATCGAGGTAGAGGTGCACTACATGGTCACAAAGGAGATTCGAAATAGGGGAAAGCAAGGTTGAGGGGTACAAATTCCAAGGTTGGGGTGCGCACTTCTGTAGAATTCGTCCAGAATGATCTTCCGCTTAATTATGTTCTTTATGCCTTTTTCAGTGATTCGGACTCAGAGTTCTCAAGAAAACTAAAAGATAAACAGCCGTTATCAGGTGGACAAATCCTACCAGCGATATCCAATGATAAACCTAGTAAAATATCACAAGGACAGGGATCGTTTAGAGATCATATCGGTAAGAAACCTATTGGSAAGCCTACAGTTAGGTAGATTATACTGAGCGTCGCGGACTTAGTGATATTTCAGCTGGTAGACAATCTGGGAATTCGTTCAGGGGTAGACCATTCGATAAATCCAGGAATAATTGAAGRAATTGTATCTGTGGATTTGTTTTTTCGGGAACATTTGAGCAGGTGAAATTATCGAATGGTCTACCCCTTATGTCWTGTTTGTCCAGCCCCCAAGGCGGAAATCGGTCGCACCGATGTATTCTCATACTTTTCACGAGAACTTTCCTCCACTTAACTTATTTTCCTTATTTGTTTGTTTTGCAGCRAGGTTTAGAAGATCGGTAAAGAAGAAACAGAAAAATAAAAGTAAGATATACACTTCCACTTGCATCAAAGACCAATTAAATCTTTTTGACTCAATTCTAATGTGACATCTTTGATCAAGAACGATGTCTTTTACAATTGTTGAATCTTCATCAGCATTCATGTGCTGAAATTTCCCAATTTGGCTAAAGTTTATACCACGACCTGCACTTGATCTAGCGTTCTAGAACGTTATCATATGGCAAAAAAACACTTTTGATTTAGTCCAAAGATTTTTTATTATAAATTTTGATTCTTCATGGAGGCCATACTCCTTCATAATATTCGATCCCATGGAAATCAGTGGGATCACAATCGCTGTGTTTGACAAAAATTGGTTGGATCAAAATAAGTGGAATTAAAATCGGTTGAATAAAAATCGATTGCCTGCCACAGCATGTTGGATTGTCATATGTTTGTTATATGTATTTTACTTGGAGAATATKTTCGCAAAAACGTATCAAAGATATCACGATATCAGTGTTGATAATGATGAATTTAAAATCGAGAAAATAGAAAGAACAACTGATCGACACTTGAATTTACTTTTCAACAGGTGCAAACAATACTACAGACAGCTTTGATGACGGATACGAGGAAAATTCTCGACCGGCAAAACCCAAAGAAAAGAAGAAAATAAGAAAAGTTATGAGTTGGAATACTTAAGGTGATTTAGATCTCAGATATCACTACTAGGAATTCTTAACTCATCGGTGTCGAACAGCTCAGCAGAAATATAAATGAGCCTGCTCAGAGAAGAGTTGGGGCCAGCGGCAGTGTAAGTGCGAGACATAGATCGTTTGTTTATTAAGGACAAAGCTTTCAATCTAGAGAATATCATTTGCTTCGCATGTAGCGCAACTTAGAGAATAACTTGCCATGCTGTTTGACTAGAAAGATCAATTTCCACTTCATGGATTATTTCATTCAAGTATTGCTAAATTGGACCGGTTTTACGAAGGCTGGATAAAGTTATCCACTCATAGAATTTGTGTGGAATTTATCCGCTGAATAAGGATTGAATACGGTGGATAGCGCTATTTCTCCCTTCATAAAACCGGCCCCAGATGAATGTAGCCAAAATCGTKTCTAATGCTTTTTGGCAGATTGAAACTACATGTGAGTCGATCGATATAAATGGAAAGTTGAAAGGCGCGCGCAAAATGGAGAAGCCAAAAAGAAGAAAGAAAGAAAAGGAAAGGAAAGGAAAGAAAGATTGCTGAGGGAAAAATGAATGTTGTGTGGTTTAAAATGCAGATATACATATATTGTATTTATGTCCATTGGATATAAGCAATAGTGTACTCTGATTGGTTACTCTGCTCTAAGTCAGCTCATATATGGCGACTAGAAACAAAATGGTGTAATGGTAAAACACTTCTGTTGTTCAGTAAAAACAAAATGAGATTATTATCCTATATATAATTCAKTGGAAGTAGATACACTAAAGAATCGTATCACTAGCAGTCGTCTTTATTCTGGCAGAGGCTGGAGTAGACTAACTATCCTGACGAGATCTAGCGTGCGTAAGTTTGAACCGGATTATACGCAGGCTAGACGAGATTAAGAATGTATGATAATTATTAAATAGAGAGTGAAAGAGAGAGATGGGGTCTGATCGAAAAGTGTGCAAACCTTGACTTTTCTTGGTATTTGTACGGCAGAAATGTTTGGCAAGTCTGGCTTTCTTGCCTTTTGTAAATTCTGCTTTCATGACAAGTATTGCTTTCCTGGTGTTAGTTGCCTATGGGCAAGACAAGGATAATGATAATCTTTAGTTACTGAGCGGAAGAGAGAACGATGCTGATAGTGTGCAGCCTAAAATTGTACTATAGCTTTGTCAAGACAACAAGTCATCCAAAATGACAAGCAACTTTTTAATTTTAAAACTTGTTTTGGTACATATTAGACAGAAAGTTCATATCTAGACCGGTACTCGGGTCCTAAGTCCTGTTTTCGATACAAATTTATCGCTTTCTTGTCTATGCCGCTGCCTTGCTCAGTTATAGACATACAAACACCAATGCTGGTGCGCGAGATTGAACTCAGAAATTAATGGCTTTGAGAGGGGGTCAGGTGAGGTTGAAGCCAGCAGAAATTTGTAGAGCTCTCCTCCAGATCCGTCACTGAAAAGCCCTATAATTCCGAGGATTATCATGAGAATGTGCTCAATCGCGCAGTTTATGGGCCTTACCTCGGGGCCTTCTGACAGTCGAGCAAGCGATTAATCTTTGCTATTCTTAAACGTATGCATTAGAAGTTAATAAGTCTAAAAATAATAAACGATAAGAAAATGAATAAAAATGAAGAACAATAAACTTCAGGTGTTGTAATAAAAGATTTGTTATGATAAACTTGTCTCTGACTTTTTTTTATTGCCTAGATTCCCTAGATTCACTCCATTTTCTAAAAAAATGATCTCCACGCAAAAGAGAAATTAAATTTCCTATTGCTTTTTTACCCATTTAATAACTTCAACCATGAAAAAAGGCAAAAGTTCTAAAAGATAATCATAAAATGGAAATAACAGTAAAAATTATAACTACGAAAAGTTGAAGCTCACACATGGCCACAAACTAGTGAGAAAAGTATTGGGCACGACTGACAGCCATATATGGATCATGTCATTACTACAAACATGGCCATAGCATGCACTTTCTATATTCCACCATAAAAAAGACAAAAGTTGTAAAAGATAATTTAAAAATATTAAAATAACAGTACAAAACAGTAAAAAGCTAGCACGCAAGGCCAAARTCTAAATGTGCGGCAGCCAACGAAATCAGAAACAGCCCTATGATATGAAAGATGCGATCATCACTCACATTGTGGACATAAAATTCACTTTCTATTTATAAGGCTGTAGATGGCCCTTAATATCAACAGTACTGTTTATCGCTATCTGATCTTGGTCTCATCGTTGCAAACATGTTATCTTTATCTCAATACGCTTTGGCGGGACTTGACTTAAAGCTGCTCTCATAAATTGCTATCTTTTGTCTAGATTATCATTTCATCTTCTATTCCTCCTTTCACTTGCCGAACACCTTCTTCCACCTGCTATCTTCTTTTTTCTTTCTTTCTTCTTTTCTTTTTTCTTTCTTTTCTTTTTCTTGTCGTGTCTCTTTTCTGGAATCGTAAGTTCAGTCGAAAAAGAAGTGCGAAAGTTGGGTAGAATAGCTTTATTAAAAACGGAGTCGTAATCAGACTCGGAAGCGGAGTCATATAAGTAGCTTTGCACGGAACCTTTCGGCCCAGATGTAGTACAGAGTGATTGTTGTCGAATTATCATAATAAAGGTTTATTGGGAATTCTGTCATCAAAAGCGCAGGAAGTTCGATCAACTTTAGCTTATCTTTAGCAAATAGAATTCTATTGGTCATTTCATTCTTTAATTTCGCATGCTCCCTTGCTTGTCTAGACAACTCGCTGTTCTACTTTCATTATGGAGCGTAACTTGATTAATAACAATCCATGGTATTTCACGTATCAGTCAGTTAAGCGACTAATTGTTTAAGACGTCACAAGGTAATGTTCCCCTTGAATGGTATCTCCAAGGTGTCATCAATAAAAAACCTTCATCTTTTAGTCATATTAACATATAAAGTATCGTACTGACGTGCTATTCAATTGAACCAAGATTGTCTGGARCACAAGGATGACTTATCTGGGATGCCAGTTTAAATTCAATAAGGATATGATACTAAGACTCAAAGTATTATACCAAAACTATCGATGATATTGATTTAGGAGTCTTAGGAAGTGCAACATCTTCAGCAACAGTTTTACTGACTTTATAGGTAAGTATTCAAGTATATTCGATAATCCTATCTTTCTGTTTGTTTCATTACAAAAAAAAAGCATTTGCTATTCATTTTTACCAATTAAAATTTGTATTTGTATTACGTGTCATTTCTGAATATGCAAATCCCTTAGTCGCGTGACACTGGTATTATAACAATGCTGTTATMAGTCTTAGCGAATTGCGGGCATATCAAACAACTGCTTTCTAAACAGTCTTAATGTTATTTGGCTATCATATATCAGTTATCTTGTGATTGCCTGTTTAAGAAATGGATGGATACCGTAGTAAGAAACCTAGCCATTGTTGAAATAGAAGGGGAGACTAGCAGTTGCTCTTTCTATATGATTTTATCGYTTGCATCGATAACCTTAGATAATTATAATTTGCCATTTTATCTTCAAAACACTAGGCATCATTACAACGATTTCTGGGTTCCTTCATTGATCTCTCTGGCTGCAAGTCATGGCCAAAAATCAACACACTTTGCAATCAGCACTGGAATCGTTTTGGACTGCGAATTTTGAAGAAGATCGGGACAGTGACGCTAGAGTACTGCGTTTCGTGACAACTCTTCTAGATCCTCTTCTTGTGGAATTGTTCAAAAGAGATCCTATTCTCAACTTTAATCCACTAAACTCAACAACATTACACCAAGGACGAACCAGACATATCTATGAAGGGTTTTTATGTTTCAAGGACTTTACGACCAGTGAATATGAACTTTCCATTGAAGATRGTAACTCGCCAATTGGGTTTGCGTTCGCCAAGTTGTCAAATAAGAAGAGTCCTAGTGACGAGTTCTGCATAACGAGTAACTCGGGCAAGAAGTACCTGTCACCAAAGATAATAAGCGAAACGTTACACAGCCATTTAAGGATGTTATTATCGGAAAATATACTCGCTAGCCGCTCCAGCGAGTTTCAGTTTGATTTATTAGAGCAGCTCGAAGACAACGCAGTAATATTCAAATTCAGTTCACTGCGGGAAACTTTCAAACTACATCTAATACCCACAATTCCTTGTAAAGGCAGATGGACGTTTGGCGCCAATGCTTGGCTTTCGGAAGAGTCTCATTGGCCATCGAAGGGCATGAAACAAGARTCAATTAACCAAGGTATCCACCTTGTTGGAAGAAGTTCACCAACAAAGTCACCATGCCAGTGGCAAATTGTCTTTCACGAACCTATGAAAATGATGCTTGAAGATTCGAATAGCTGCAGAAATAAATGCCGGGATATTATGAAACTGATTTTGAATCGATCACAGCCTTTACAGAAAGGAGTAACATTATTCCTACTGGAGACTGCGACGCTGAAACTCTACAAAATGTATCCGCAGGGAATTTTTTGGCGGGAGGAAAAGTTTGYACAGAGATTTRTTGATCTTGTGGAGGAGTTGAGGAAAGCGATTCGAGCAAGAAAAATGAATGATTTTTTTCTTTATGATTTGAATTTGTTAAAAGATATGGATCAAAAAACAGCTGAATTGTGTGATCAGCAAYTGAAGAAACTTCTTGAAGATCCTGGACAATTTCTTTTTGATTTAAAACCACGYGAAGGTAGTTTCCAGGACACTCATTTATAGAATCGAAATTGAAGATTGTACTGTTTGTATATTTGTACACCTCATATTCATATACAGCTTATTTAGAAAACCTTGAATCATACTGAAGATACTGTATTCAAAGATCAAAATACATTGTTCGTTCTATCGGCCTTCAGAAGGTGGTTTAGAGTGACTATACCAGCTCTTTACAGTCAGGAACTTCACTAGGACAAATTGCTAGGAAGTGACTTATGCTTAGCTGGAATTGTCATTATTTGTAACCCAGTTAACGTGATGTTAATATCAACATTGCTTTGCAGTCTCGGGGATCAGTTTACAGTATTCAAGGTTTCTGAAATAACTACATACAAATAAATGATTAATACTTTTTTTGATATTAATAATCATGAAATATAAATTATGAATTTTTTATAGATTATTATCGTTAATTGAACAAGAATGTAAGCAAATTTTCATGGACTCGGGACAACATGTCACTTTGTACAAAACTCGGTCTTCACTCATTATTAGAGTTTTGATTGTTTACTATAAGTCAGGACGTTAATTGTCACCGTTTGGTGTTTRTCGCTATACAATATAAACACAGAAACAATTATTTTAATTTGAAAAGGAAATTGTCAAGACAATGTTGACATACTGACGATATCGGAAAGGTGCAGCGACGCCATTTTATACGACAAAGCATGATGGGAGTGATATTTCATACAAAGAAAAAAATGCTGAAACTGTTTCTACAAGGGATTGTGGGACATTTCCTGTTCTAGTAAGCAACTTTCTCGCACAAGTTATCACGATTCTTGGACAGAAACACGTTAAAAGTGCATAGGTGCCATAATAGTATATGGGGGTCTTTATGGCTCATTATTTATGGTTACACTGTCCCACTTTTGATGACGTGGCGAAGAGCATACCAAAAAACGATTTTTTTCTCTACACATTATTCGATCAGTTCAAGACTCGCGGAAAATAATGCTCAGATTTACGCTTAAAAAGGGATGATTTTTCCAAGCCCTTCCTAAAGCTCTACAACTCTACAACTTTTGTTTGAAATCCTAGCTCAATTCAAAAGTACATCCTGTCGATCGGAAACTGATGTTATCTGGTCTGCAAAACTAATGTCATCAATGCTCTTTTTTTTTTGTCCTGTTCAATTAAAAGTTTTAACGGGTGATGAATCTGTTAGATAACAACTGCATTTATGATTTTGAACGGGAAAGGATGTTCAACCAGTRTAAATCTCCACACAAAATCGAGAAAATAAGTTCTATTTCAGTTATTATTCTGACGAATAGCATCTTTCAAGTTGTTCATTTTGATTAATTAGGCAAACCATGCTTTTAAATGCTAGATGTTTGCGACTGAGTAAGGCGTGGCGAAGTCCAAATCCAAAAACGATAAAATCGTGAAATTGCACTGCATAAATTTCAGAAATTAATAATAGAACTAAAGTGATTAGAAATCGGGATAAAACACCCCCTAATTCCATTTTCGATCTAAATAAATCACTCTCGAAACGTATGTAGTTTTTCTCGAGAATTATTTCAAAAAACAAACCATCGTGCATAAAATGATTTTAATTGAAAACAGCACACAAACCGACAAAATTTAAAATACCTTGGGGTTTAAACATTGTCCATCAAAATATAAATGGTCCAGATTCAATATAAATCTCTTAAAGTCGACCAAAATGCCGGAGGATTTTTTATTTCTCAGCTATTTTAATTTCCTTAGTCTCGGTCCTTGGTTATTATTTCTGGGAAGCGAGCAAGAAGCGACACTGATTGAACCTCTGGGTTTGTGGAGATTGAAAAATTTCGTTTATTCTCGTAGTCATTTTGGCTAATTGAGTTTGTGAACTTTTCATCATGTAAAAGTTCATTAAAGCCAAATTAATATGTTGTATTTTAATGTGCCGTGATATCAGTAATATCGTCTACAGTTCTGATTATGGACCACAAACAAGAAAATGCTTTAAAATATTCAATGCATAGTCA